GACAGTACTTATTAATATCTTGCAATAATCCATGTAATACTCCTACGAGTGCCAAAACCAAACGGAACCTGGAGGCTAGTCCAAGACCTCCGCATTATAAACAAAGCAGTCATTCCTCTCCATCCTGTAGTTCCCAATCCATATACCTTATTGTCTCATATCCCTGAAACAGTTGCCTATTTTATATCTTAGACCTGAAAGATGCCTTCTTTTGCATTCCACTTCATGAAAATTCCCAATACCTTTTTGTTCTGACTCCCTCTGACTCTAACACCCAGCTTACTTGGACTGTGTTACCCCAAGGATTTAGGGACAGTTCTTACTTGTTCGTACAAGCCCTAGCCAAAGACTTGAGTCATTTTTTCATATCCTACAGTGACTCTTATTCTGTACGTAGGTGACATTCTTTTGGGAACATCAGAAGCAGAGGAATGCCACAAAGCTACACAGGCTCTCTTAAACTATCTAGCTGATTGTGGGTACAAAGTTTCTAAGGCTAAAGCCCAATTATGTGTCCCAAGAGTTCACTATTTGGGTCTCCAGCTTTCACAGGGGAAAAGAACCTTGGGCACAGACAGAATAGAACTAATATTAGCTCACCCTAAACCTCAAACTCTCAGACAACTTCAAGGCTTCTTAGGGATTACAGGTTTTTGCAGACTCTGGATCCCTGGATATAGTGAAATAGCTAAACCACTTTATTATTTAATTAAAAATGCTCAAAAAGAGGGCCTAGTCACTTTAGAATGGGAACCAGAAGCAAATAAGGCATTCCAACAATTAAAAACTGCTCTTTTATAGGCCCCGGCTTTAAGTCTTCCCACTGGACAGCAATTTAATCTGTATATTACAGAACGAACTGGCATTGCTCTGGGAGTTTTGGTCCAATACCGGGGTCCAGTTCTATAACCTGTAGCCTATCTTAGTAAAGAAATTGACACTGTGGCCAAGGGATGGCCACACCGTCTATGAATCATCACAACTGTAGCCCTCTTGACCCCAGAAGCAACCAAACTAATTCACCTTCCCTAATCCCAACTTGGGAGGGTCCCTTTTCTGTTATCTTATTGTCTCCTACAGCTCTTAAAGTTATGAGTATGGATTCCTGGATACATCATTCATGTGTAAAAGCCTGGAACCCTCCACCTTCTACAGACAAAGACTGAAGAAAGCCAATCACAGCCCACCTAGTCTTAAATCTCATCAAGTTATGCCACCCATAATGAAGATGGTTCCAGTCTAACACCTGATTATCACAGATCCCTGTATCACTCTTCCCACCAGAGAAACCCTAACTGCCCCTTCTATCATCACCCAATTCAGCAAGAAGCAGTTAGATCGAGTCTTCGCCCTTTTTCCCTAACAGCAGTTAGGGTTTCCACTCAGAGAGTGAGGAATGATACCAGACAAGGTAGCACCGAGACCGGACACCTTGTCCCTGGGACCTGTTGCTGTTGCGGTGAATGGAGGAATTTGCCAGACACAGCAGGGGAAGACACTGGTGCCCTGCCGTCCCCTGACGTGGACTTCTGGCAGGTCAATTCCTCCAGTGCATCCCTGATTGGTCTATTTTCAGGACCTGAAAGCTCACTGGACAATTGCCCCTATGTAAGGCTCTAAGTAGAGAGCCCAAACTCAGACCTCCAAGAGAGAGCAGGAAAGCAAGGAGGTTTGGCTCTTTGTGAGAGCTGTAACACTTGAATAAAACCTAATAAAACCTAACCTACTATTGATCCTGGGGTCCATCGCTTCATTCATTGAATCTCTGAGACCAAGAACCTGAAAGTCCAGTATCACCATGACCATTTTAATTTATATTCCCCCAATACCAAATTTCGTTAATTTTGATGTACTCAAGCCATGAAAAAGACAAAATATATTGCACATCAAGATGTTCCCTGGTGGAAGATCTTCATTAAAAAGTAACTTACCAGCATATATGCTTGCAAAGTTCTCCTCCTTTCAGAAATGTGGGACAGTTACAAACATGAGGATTTCCTAAAAAAACCTTTAATAAGAAAAATGCACACTTTAAAATAAGTCAGTTAATTTTTAGAGTAAAACTAAGTTGACATATAATTGGTTTAAAAAAATTGAAGAGGTAATTCGGGTGATTCCAAAAGGTTAAATGAAATCTACTAGGGAATTTTAACTCTCCTTACTAGGCAGACTTCATACTCTCTGGGCTGATTTTTCTCTTCCTTATTCTTTGCCTTGATTAACAACTTGTATTATCAATTAAGATGGATTTTTAAGGGACCTGCACTCTGGCAGGTGAAATAAATCAACTTTTAAAAGGTAAAACAAAAAAGCCCCAAACTATAAATTTCTTACTAGAAAGAAGTCCTACTCTGGTTTGAAATTAAACTCCTTTGCAAGGCAGCTCATTTGGATTTTTATTTTTTATTTATTTATTTTTTTTACTTTTTTGGTTATATAACAAAACAATTTATTAAAATGGGTGAGAACAATGTAGACCAGGTGTGATGTGGATAAATTTTTATTTTTGTGCATTTAAATTTATGAATTTACCTTCTTTAATTTTATGTAAGAGGACAAGTTGTAATCATGCTAGACTATGTTGGTTAAAAAATTAATGAGTTAAGTGTTGTAAGCAACAAAGTTAAAAAAGAGGAGGGATGTTTTAAGTAAGCACAAACTAGTAAATTGTATTCAGGTCTTAAAACGCATGACTTAAAATTTTCTAAGTTAACTCCTGGGAGATAGTGTGGTGGCTGATTTTTGGGTGGTGAGGATAAACTATGTATATATTTGCTGTCTTTAATTTTTATTCATTTAGACCTTTTCAAGGTATCGCTATTTAAACAACCCTGTTAAAGGCCCTCATTATCGCTTCAGCAGGACAGTAAAGGGAAGCTCATTTTATTTAGTTAGCACATATTTATAGTGTGTAAGTAGAGTGTAGTATTTTCATTTCGTCTCACAGGGCTACTGACCGCTAACCACGGATCCAAGAACGTTAATGTAAACCAAATACTCATATAAAGCTTCTGACATTTTCAAGCCTAAATATCAAAAGCTATCTTACAGGAGATGGATGCAATTTGAGTTCCTAACCTCTCAAAGCTTTTCTATTAAACAAATAATATTTCCTTCTGTAATTTGCATGTCTTTCGCTTCTGGAACACTGACCAGGATACGCCTTTGGGCTAGGGCAGCAAGTACCTGCAGGGATTGTCAGGGTGGCTAAATATACCGGGAGGGCTTCGGGGGACCCTTGGGTAGGCCGGGCCAGGGGCGGAGGCGCAGTGGGGCGGTAGTTACTCGGAATTCTCTGTTTTCCGGTTCCTCCTCCCGCAGCAGGAAGCCGGTGGGGCCCATCTCTCGCAGCAGGTAGATGCTGCTGCTCAGCGCCTGCTCTTGTCGACAGCTGAGGATGTTGCTCAAGTGTCTTCGCCTTTCAGAGGCCTTATTACCTCCGCGAAGCATCCCAGCTAGCTGCAGGCCGAGGAGGCTGGTCACCTAGACTCTCGCAGGCCCCCGTCAGCGTCCATGACAACGGCGTGCCGTCTGGTTGCCATGGTGACAGGGGTTGGGCTCCGCGGTGTCCCGGCGTGCCTTGCGCTGAGCGGAAGCCCGCGACCCAGGCGCTGGCGGGAGCGGGTTGCGCGGCTGGCGTCGGTCTCCCTCCCTTCCGCGGTGATGCCTGCGACTCCACTCGGGACTGTTTCTGACAATTAACCTGAGGATCGGAAAGCGGGCGGCCGAAGGCATCGTTGTTAATTCTCTTGCCTTCCTTCTGCTGGTTCTTTTCAGGCAGGGATGGTGAAATCTGCATGTTAGAACCCTGGTAATGATAATTTTAATGGCAAAATTATCCTGTGGTGATTCGTCTTTAACGAAAGCCCGGAATGATTGTAGACGTTCGACAACATTCCACAGACGTTTTCCAATTGCTCAGTGTGCGCTCGCTGAGCGAGTTGCTGGGGAAGATGTAGGAGACAGGAGGTCTAACCCCTAGAAGCCTCGATTCTTAAATCAGGGTACACGTGTGTAGGGAGGAGGATGGTTTTAAAGCAAAGGAATGTTTCTTAATTGTATAAGTAGGGGTTGAGTATTGAGGCTGGTGGCACGGAATCCATTGATTCTACCTGTATATGGACCTTAAGTTTACAAATCTCTGTTCTAAGGAAAAAGATTTTCAAGGTATGTAATAGTCATAGCTTCAGTAATTAAATCATCCCTGAGCTTTGTTATCACTTTCTAGGGAAGAGCTGTAATAAGAAGTATGAGTCAACAATTTGAGGCATAATTATTTTAAAAAGGAGCCATATTACTGGAATCTCGCTTAAGAAATTGAAAGCAGGAGATAGCACCACTGGGGGCCTGAGAACTTTAGCTTTGGTAGAGAAGGAGAGATTTGTCCTGTTAGATCATCGGAGGGAGCCACAATTAGGTTATGTCAAAAGCAGGAGAAGAGAGAATAGCAAAGGCCACAATACGAAAGAAGATAATGATACTGGCACTTTTCATACGTGAGATATCTGGGTAAACACATCCAACCCTAGTTCTAAGGTTTTAATTTACTAAATTTTATTTCTACTCTCCTATGCTTGTTAACAATTAAAATACATACCACTATATTCCCAACATTAGCATTAATTTAATGGTGCTAGATGTTAAATTAAAACATAATGTATTAGGGAAAAAACTTTGACACGGAGAGCAAAAGAAACTATAAATCGAATGAACTCATTTTATGCATTAATACTTAAATGATTTTAAAAACTCTAATGAGCAACCCTTTTTTTTTGTATAACAAGATGATTTGGGTTTCAGAATGAAGGTGTTTTATTCATTTTGTCTCTCTCCACGTGTATGTGTAATATATATGGTTATTAAATAATTTTGGAAAAAACAGCAAATAATTGTCAAAGTCGTGTTTTATTTATAATTAGTGATACTTTCTGAGTAAGGGATAAACATTTTTAAAAAGTTACATGCTTAAGACACACTAGTCATTATGTCATTAGAATATAGGTTCATAAATCCATTTGGGGGATGGTAAAAGTAACAGTATTCATGCTTTCATGAAGTTAAAAAGAGAAAGCACAGATTGCTAGACAGAACTTCAGTTTAGCTGTAAGACATTTGTTTTTGTATCTGTCAGTTAAGACTTCAAAAACATTTTTATAGCCGGGTGACTATCCCATATGCTTGTTAAATATCTTAAGAATGTGTGACGGGGGTAATATTTTGCAAATATTAAGTTGGAGAATTTTAATTATTCCCTGAAATTAAGTGTTCCCTTCCAAGGTACATTTTGTGGTATATTGTCCCTAGTAAGAGGGGAATGGTTACTGCTAGAAACAAAGATATCTGAGTGTCATGGATTAATAAATGTTAGTTTCATGATTTTTTAACCTTTTCTCTTAATACTATTGTAATGAAAGACAAGTATTAATAAATTACAGTTGCTCCAGTTTAAGGTATAGAAAGCAGAACCTACAGTATCAACCATGGAATTGTATGGGAGAGATGGCTCTAGGTCAGTGATTTTCAACCCACGTGCCATGAGAGGATCAAGATACGCTTCGAAAATTTTAAACATCATTGATTAAACTGTTTTCAAAAGAATTTCAGAGTACAGTAAGTGTTTTTTAATCTTTTTGATTAACACAATTTAAGTGTGCCATGGAAGTTTAACTATAACTGTGAGATAAAAAAGGTTAAAAAACACAGCTATAGGTAGTGGTAAGAAGAGTGACATTGTGAATGGGAGAAGTAAACTGCTAGTCTCAGCATGAGTGTGTTGGGGTGACGTGAAGTGATGCACTGAACATTGAGATGAGTTTGGGATAACAGAATACCTGGGACAGGTGTGTGTATGGAACTTACTTTTGTAATGATTCTAGGGAGGTGCAGGGTGCTAGGAAACTTCAGATTTTGCTGTGTGTAACACATGGTGGGTGAGCAATATGCAGAGGTGCCAGTTGAAGAAAGGTAAGGGACCTGGTTCTCAAGGATTAAGAGCATGCCATGAATTCAGGAGTTTGCATAGTTGTGGCATACAATTAGCACATACAGATAGTGTAATCACATTGACCAACCTCCTCCCTAAAGTTTTCCACTACTTTCCACTAGATTACACTGAAACAAAAGTGTAAACAAAAGGTGGCAGTTTTTAAAGTAATCTAGTTCAGTCTCTATCCCATATTGCAAGAGTCTTTAATCAAGTCTGCTTTTCTTGTTTAATTCCATCTAGTGCATTTTTTTCTTTGACAATAAACAAGGCTCTTCTAAGAAGACTATTTAGTTATGAAATCAGACTAAATTATATTTCACTAAGCTTTTTTTCTTGTGATCAAGGTGAGAGCTACCAAAGGTGATAAAATATATTTCAATTTTTTTGTACATATAAGTTTGGAACCCACTGTGGGTGTGGTTGAGATTTCTAGTTTAAGATGAAAGACTAAGTAGATAATGTTTCTCTTCTGTCTGAAGAGCAGAATAATTAGAATATTAAAAATGTTTCAATCTCTTACAATGAAGAAAACTAGAGAGGGCTGAAGTAGGCAGAATTCTGAAAATACCCTAATGATCCCTGCCTTTTATAAGTCCTCCTGTGAATATGTAGTGTTATATGGGGAAAGAAATTTTTCAAATGTAATTAAGGTCACTAATCAGTTGACTTTGGACTAATTAAAAGGTTGGCTTAATGTAATTTTAGGAGCCCTTTCAAGGCAATTTTCTCTGGCAGGTGGCAGAAGTCATAATGGAAGTTTATTTTTTTTTTTTTTTTGGCGGGCTTTGAAGATGAAAGGGACTATGTGACAAGCATTTCTGTAAAAAGAGAGTGGCCTAGGGCTGACCACCAGCAAGAAAATGGGGTCCTTAGATCCATAGCAGGAAGGAATTGATTTTTGCCAGCAGCTTGAATGGGCTTATAAGCAGACTCTTCCCTAGATAAGAGCACATCCTGGCTGACATGTTGATTTCAACTTTGTGAGACACTTAGCAGAGAACTCAGCTAAGTTTGCCTGGACTTCTGACCTACTGACTTGTTAGTTGGTAAGTGGATATTGGTTTAAGTCATTTAGTTTGTGATAATTTCTTATGCAGCAGTAGAAATTGAATGTGAGGCCATTGACTAGTTATAAAATCAGACTAAATTACATTTCACTAAGTTTTTTTTTTTTTCCTTGTGATCAAGGGGAGTGAAATCTATCAAGTTTGCCTGGACTTGTGACCTACTGACTTGTTAGCTAGTAAATGAGTATTGGTTTACATCACTTAGATTGTGGTAATTTTTTTATTAAATCATAGCTGATTTGCAAATCAATGCAATCATGGGGTACAGTGTGGTGTTTTCATATACAATTTGAAATACTCTTATCAAACTGGTGAATGTAGCCTTCATGTCATTTTCTTAGTTATTGAGTTAAGACATTCATACTCTGCTTTTAAAAAGATTCACTTGTACCCTTGTAAGATAAATCATAGAGGTGACCCCACCAATCACACTCCCTCCACCCATCAACCCCCCTCCCCTAGTTTGTGGTAATTTCTTATGCAGCAATAGAGAATGAATGTCAGGGAATATTAATAACTTCAACAAACTACTAACAGAACAAATATAGATGGAAAAGTGCTGACTGATGAAAGGAATAATTGAAGGTATGAACACAGAACAGTTTACTTCTGTTACCTGCCAGCATTGGATTGGACAATAGACTCACTTTAGCTAGTTTTAAGCATAAAGGAATTTATTATAGGATATAAATTAGCTTTCAGGGTGTCTAGAATGGCCACGGAATTAAGCTTTTATCTCATTCTAAAGTGAAACACTGAGACAAATTGTTTACTCATATCATGAGGTTTTTTTTTTTTTTTTTTTTTATACAGTGGAAATCCCTCTGAGTCATTAAAAAAGCTGGGTACTAGACTATTGTTGCAGAAAAAAGGACTTCATAACTGAGATGGTTAGTTGGGCTGCATGGTTTGCCAAACTCCTGCCTTTTAAGTCTTGGCAGAAGCTAGTCAGTTGTTTAAAATCTGGAGGATAAATAGGATAAAATTTAAAAAAGGAACATGGAAAGGCAGTAGAAAAAAATTGGAGAGCTACCAAAATGGGTAAAGGAGCAGGAACCCTGAAACAATATGGCAAGCCACAAGGCCAAAATGTTAAAAGAATAATTGACATAAGAAAGGCCTTTGTTTTATAAATGATTGTACAATGAAAAAACTCAATAGAAATGTTGAAGATGAAGTCAATGATCCAGATATAGAGCAAAAAGAAGTACAAGTATTCAAAGAAAGAGGATGAATGCAGTGGCTTATGCCGTAAACCTAGCAGTTTGGGAGGCTGAGGCAGGAGGATTGCATGAGCCTAGGAATTTGAGTCTAGCCTGGGCAATAGCCTCGGTCCACATCTACAAAAGAAAGTAAAATAAAAAAAACTTTACCATTATCCAGGCGTGGTGGCACAC